ATGGAACTTACTTACACCAGTTTACGAAGAAATACTGGATATCGTTAAAACAAATACCTGTCTACGGTTCTTTTACCTACTCTGTACCACAGTCTTTTTGGCCCATCTGAATGACTAGACACTGTTTCTTGCCAGGTTTTACAAAAGAAAAAAATGAAATGAAATGGAGTTTGACGTCCTACTGTTCTACTCCTACTTATCTAATGAAGACGGGCATACGCCATACAGTGTGCTATTAGGGAAATTTTGCTCGGGCAGCGGCACATGGCCTACTCTTATATCTAATTCCATCTGCCGAGGGATCTTTTACGTGCACGTCAATGTATACACGGGACCTCGGTTTTTCGTCCCATCCGAAAGACTTGGCAACTATCCTCTTGTCAGGCCCTACGTTCTGCACCACTGACAAGGGGAAACCACGTCAGAAAATCCCGATGAACTTTCTCGGCCAATGCAGGGATCGAACACGTGACCTCCAGGCTTGCGAGCCAGCGTCTTAGCCACCGTGGCGTTTCTATATCATTGTTATTTCTTTGAATAAATCAATTAGAAAATGAAACATTTTGACAAACACCATAAACAAAAATTTGTTGAAATAATTGAAATGGTTCTCCTAAAAGCTATTTCATTTGAGCAAATCTAGATAAGCACAATTCTGGTAATAGCTGATATGTTTTTAGACATTGACAAGCATCACTCGATCAAAATTCCTAGCTAAGTTGGTTTTGTGCTGTAGTTTTGAATAAGTTTAAAATGCATAAGTTTTTCCAATCAAGGTGCCCATTCCCCACCTCTATGTGAATAACAGCAACCTAAACAACCATATTTTAACAAAATCATCCAAGCACTTTCCTGCCTAATTTCAAAGTAATCCATTCAGACATGTAGAAGAATGTTTAAGATAACCTAACTTTGCTCCCTAAAAATTAAAAATGCCACTGACCTTCCAGACTGCTACTATGGTGGCAAGCTACTTTATTTGAATAAATCAGCATATCCTACCCAACTCCTTGCAGTAGGTTATCATAATTTACATCCCACTTCTACTCGTTGCCACTGGTAACCTTTGATAAAACTGTCCTGTTTAATCGCTATACATGCTTAAAAGTATCCGTGTATCAGTAATGTACAGAAAGAGTACTGTTCATTTCTGATACACGGATACTTTTAAACCGTTTTAGATACCTATCAAGCAATCAGAAGCGGACGTTTAGTCCGATCCAGATCGCAAATGAAGACGATGGCACTCACCAATGTACATGAAACAACTAGTCAAAATCATAGTAACAAAACAAAATGGGGGGAACTACATGGCAGTTCAAAAACATATACAATGACATTAAATTAACATAACAACATATTACAAAAATCAATTATTATACATATCAATTGGCATCTATTTTATAATTTGGTTTGATTTATATTAATATGCAAAATATATATATTAGAATATTGAATAATTATTTTAATTAATTGTGATGATAGAAGGCGCAGTTCTCTTGCTGGACACTTCACAGGCATTGATAATAAGCAGGATGAAAAAAACGCCTAGAAAGTCATAAACTTTATTACAAATAAATTTCAACGGAAGGACCATCCGCCGATGCATACTTTCACCAGGAATGACCCACGTTTCGCATTTCCTTTACACTACATTTAATAATATCGCAGTCCTCTACGCCATAGATAAGATGTTTTGACAGTGTGGTCTAAACAAACACGTGATTGTTTTACGCTCAGAGTATCATAGCAAGACGCACGTGTAAATACTACTCAGGTCGTCTCTCCACAGCGAAATCATTCTACCATGAAATGTAACGTGAGGCTCAGAAAGGGATAAATAATGAAAGAGCAGAAAGTATTTGTCACTTTTCGGTTGAAACGACTCGATGATAAATACTATTTTTCACATGTTGGTTCACAATACTCGATAGAAATGTGATGTAAGTAACTTATTAGCACCTTTCCGGAAAGGGTGCTAATAACTACTACTTACATCCCACTTCTACTCGTTGCCAGTGGGAACCTTTGATAAAACTGTCCTTTTTATTTTCAATACATGCTTAAAAGTATCCGTGTATCAGAAATGTACAGAAAGAGTACTGTTCATTTCTGATACTTTTATACCGCAATAAGTAGCGGACGTTTAGTCCGACCCAGATCGCAATTGATAACGATGCCTCTATACAATGCACAAGGATAATGTACATGAAACAACTAGTCAAAATCATAGTAACAAAACAAAATGGGGGGAACTACATGGCAGTTCAAAAACATATACAATGACATTAAATTAACATAACAACATATTACAAAAATCAATTATTATACATATCAATTGACATCTATTTCATAATTTGGTTTGATTTATATTAATATGCAAAATATATAAATTAGAATATTGAATAATTATTTTAATTAATTGTGATGATAGAAGGCGCAGTTCTCTTGCTGGATACTTCACAGGCATTGAAAATAAGCAGGATGAAAAAAACGCCTAGAAAGTCATAAACTTTATTACAAATAAATTTCAACGGAAGAACCATCCGCCGATGCATACTTTCACCAGGAATGACCCACGTTTCGCATTTCCTTTACACTACATTTAATAATATCGCAGTCCTCTGCGCCATAGACTAGTTGTTTTGACGATGTGGTCTAAACAAACACGTGATTGTTTTACGCTCAGAGTATCATAGCAAGACGCACGTGTAAATACTACTCAGGTCGTCTCTCCACTGCGAAATCATTCTACCATGAAATGTAACGTGAGGCTCAGAAAGGGATAAATAATGAAATGAAATGAAATGAAAATGGGTTTAACGTCCTACTGTTCTGCTCCTATACTGGGCTAATGAAGACGGGCATACGCCATATAGTGTGCTATGAGGGAAATTTTGCCCGGACAGCGGCACTATCGCCTACTCTTATATCGAATTCCAACTGCCAAGGGATCTTTTACGTGCATTCTAATATATACACGGGACCTCGGTTTTTCGTATCATCCGAAGGACTAGACAGCTGTCCTTGTCAGGCCCTCCGTTCTGCACCACTGACAAGGGGAAACCACGTCGGAAAAAGGATAAATAATGAAAGAGCAGAAAGTATTTGTAACTTTTCGGTTGAAACGACTCGATAATAGATACTATTTTTCACATTTTGCTTCACAATACTCGATAGAAATGTGATGTAAGTAACTTATTAGCACATTTCCTCGGTGTATAGTTTTGGTCGGGAGCCGCCTCGGCTGGGCCCCTCGACCAAAACTGTCCAGATATTCACCGATACACCTCGCAAAGTGCGCTAATAACTACTACTTCCAACTCACAACCATAGTAGTAGAGTGATTTTGACCGTTAACACCACTCACACGTGTACGAACTTCGTGGGTTTACGGGTCCTACGGTTTCCCCACACTGCTACATCCCTATGCGCAAGCAAATTAATGAATTATGCTAATCCCGAAATAGGGAGCCACGGTGGCTCAGTACGAAGGGCATTGGCTCGCTAACCTGGAGGTCCCGTGTTCGATCGGGATTTTCAGGCGTGGTTCCCCCTTGTCAGTGATGTAGGACGGATGACCTTGGAAGGGACAACGTATAGTCGTTCGGATTGGACAAAAAAACGATCTCCCGCGTACACATTGGCTTGCACGTAAAAGAACCCTTCCTTGACAGTTAGAATTCGTTATAAGAGTAGGTCGTAGCGCCGCTGTCCGGGCAAAATTTCCCTCATAGACAACTTGGGACATTTTACAAATTTTTGACGACAACCACATCTATGTTTAGTCTATCCAATCAGAATTTATGCAATGAAAGCCGCGTGCCATTCTTTGATCAATATTTTAATAACCATTTGTAATTTTAAAAAAAAGTCGGTACAACAACCAATAGCAAGATATGTACCATTATTCTTATTAATGTGTTAGTCCCAAAATGACCTAGCCGGTGTCCAGTGTACGTTAAATCCCTCCCTCCCTCCCCCTCTCTCTGAAATTCATTTTTCCCCGAATATCAACAAATTCATTATAAATGTTACTTGGCTATCTTTTTTTAACCGAGCTCCTGAAACCGCTACCCATTCTTGACTTCGCATACTCTTCAAATGTTATGCTTCGCACTTCGAGCTCTACATTAGCTGGTCGGTCACCTCTGGCTCGCGGTCATGGTTTTGATCCCATATGTGAGCGCACGTGGCCTGGAGATAGATGAAGAAGGGTGGGGGGGGGGTCTTGTTCGCCAACGTGGATATGATTTTCTAATACGTTGTTCCTATAATTCCCTAACAAGCAAGGTGGAGGCTCAATGAGTTAAACGCTGCTTCACTAACCAGGTTGTCACGATGCTGGCTGAGAAAATTTCTCGAAAATATCCCATTGCCAGTGGTACCGCCTAGTTGTTCGGGTGGGACGCAAAATAGGTCCGGTGTTCACGTTAGCGTGTACGTTATATGGAATTCAACAATAACTATACGAAGATGCCGCTGTCCGGGCAAAATCTCCAGCATAGCAAACTGCATAGAATATAACTGCATAGAGTTTTTAACAGGACATTTAACAGGTTTAACGTCCTGTTTCGACTGGGCTAATGAAGAAGGGTAAATGCCATACAGTGTGCTTTGGGGAAATTTTGGCCCGAACAGCGGCGCTACGGGACTACTCTTATATAGAATTCCAGCTGCCAAAGGATCTTTTACGTGCATGCTAAAGTGTACACGGGCTCTCGGTTTTGCATCCCATCCGAACTACTACACGTTGTCTCTCGCCAGGCCCTCTGTCGGTCTGTCCAGCACCACTTGGTGGGTGCATAAAAGTTTGGAAGGAGAGAGGGAGAGGGAGAGAAATGAGGTTTAACGTCCACTCGCCACCGACAGAATCAGTTCGGGACTAACATATGATTCAATTTTATTTCAATAATTCGTCAAGTACAATCGGGCAATCGAAACCACGCCCCCCCCCCCCCTTCATAAAAGCAGAACGTCACAAACTGATAAAGCCTTGATAAAATAACACAATCTGATTTATTTATAACCAATACAGTTATACATTCGTTGTGGTTAATGTTGGCATTTAAAAATTCGATACTAGGCAACACGTAATAGTTATTAAAATTTTTGTAAAAGGACGAGCTTTTACAACGTGGATTGATTTGATGTACTTCTTGATAAGCAAACGAACTCCACTCCGATACACCGCGATCATAGCTTCATATAATATAGTAGGCCCCAGAAGTATAAATGATTAATTCCGCAGTAAATACGTTGTACGTCACAAAATATTCCCTCGTGTAAATATGCCCTTGAAGCTTTACCAAGACAATAATGTCCTCTGTGTAATGGCAGTTATCGCCATGGTGACGCAGTTCAGTATCGCAGATTGGGGTATTTCATGTATTTGACCGTTGTGTCGCCAAGGCAGAGCATATTATGTAAATAGTCAGCAATGCCCATATAGGCCTACAATACCTAGTGCATGAAAGATGAAAGATGACACAGCAGGCGTGAGTGTACGAGTATATAGCGCCATGGTAACTCTGCACTTTTAATACCTTATTCCTCCGCAAAACGATCTCCATGACAACCAATGTAGGTTACGTCAATTGGGTTTTCGTATTTTAAGACAATAAGCATTGTTATGAAATCTGTTTCTACTGTATTTGATTATTTTTAACGATTTGTGTTGCATATATATCACCATGTCTGTGCATATCACAATTCAGTAAATTTGTTTTAAGTTACATCTACGTCATTGATAGTATTGAACCAGAAGAGAAAGCTCGCTGTCTCTTGTAACAACTTTCGATGTCCCGTCTTTCAAACCACCATTCACTAGCACTCATAAAAGGCGAAGGTTCTACGGGTCGTATGGCGTCGAAATTATCAAAATTCACCTGGTGTTTACCGGCTATATGTCGTCCGGAAAACATCGGAGAAAACCGATGTCCCCATTTTATTTCACATGGCATATAAGAGGTCCGACCCTGAAATGTCATACTTGTTGAAGCAATGGAACCTTCTAGGATAATAATAATTTCAAAGTCTGATTCGTTTAACATTTCCGGCGAAATACCGAATAAAGGACTTTCTTCGTTAATTTTATGTACAATGGTTGCCGGCCACCAAAGCTGTCTTTGGGGATTACTTTCTGGAACACTCACGGGGATTTCGTACAAATGATGTGGTATAAAATATCCTTCCGCCGTTAACTTATGCGCTAGAAATAAGGCACGGATTTGGGCTCCAACAAATTCAGAGCGGCGTAAATTACCCACTCGAATCATTAAACAGAGTTCGTCATTTTCTAAACAAATACACGCCCATTTACTAAAAATAACCGTCTTCGCTCTTTTCGTGGGGCTTTGAATTTTAGCCAGAATAGTTCCAGCAATTAGCGCTTGTAACATCGCGCCAAAAATACTTTGAACAACCAATAGGAACACACCTAGCGAACACTCTTCACTGACGTAACGAAATCCGTAACCAATGGTTGTCTGTGTCTCAATGGAGAAAAGTATTATCGAATCAAAAGTGCGAACATTTAAAATACACGGTTTCCAATCCTTCGAGTCAATGTTTTCGAAGTCTTTGTGCCAATGAACAACGCCGTACCACATTAGGGCGAATAATGACCACGTCACAAGGAAACACACCATGAATATAAAAACCAACAGATGCCATTTACATTCCAATAAGCTTGTGTAGCCATCTAGAATAAATTGCATACGGCGATGACGCATGTTACACGCTTTCACGTTACATCTTCCGTTCTTCTGAACCAAACGTGGTTTATTCGACAACGCCATTTTATTTTTAATCCAGGCACCAATTCTGTATCTCCTTTTAGAAGCACTCGATACACAAATAAACTTGCTTAATATCACACTGGTCCACGCAATTGAACTTTTGACAAAGTTGTAATAACCGCAGCCAAACATAAGCAGGGGCTTGGAAGGAAAAACTGACAATAATTTCTCTTTACCGCAATAGTTGTACTTAATATCTCTTGGCGAACTTTCAAATCTGTGGTCTAAATCTCATATTAAGACTTCTGACAAACAGATTAACAGATATTCCAACATCCGGAACATAATCATAGTAAATCTGAAAAACAATTTACCATTTCAATTTATAAAAAAAATAAAAACAGAGGAAACACTTCCGATTTCAAAATCACCAAACAGATTGATGTTTTCCGTCTTTGAGTAACGTGTACACGAGTTTATCACGTGACTATCACTAACACAGGATTGCGTAAGAGAAATATAGAAATGAAGCAAGAATAATCGACGTCACTCAAAGACTAAATTCACAGTAAAAATTTCCACAGATCAATCACCTTTAGATCATTGAGTCAACTGGCGTGGTTTTGATCCCAGACTTGTACGTGACAAGCAGTAGGGTCGCCTGCCCAACCTCGTGGGTTTTCTCTGGTACCTCGCGATTCCTCCCACTGCTTACATCCTGGGCTGGATTAACCATTAAGCAAATTAAGCACGTGCTTTGGGCATCATGGGAATGGGGGCACCACAGGATGTCTGCTTTAGAATGATGCCAAATTTAAAATATTTAATTTAAAAATGTTCAATGTTTTTGTATTTTTTTTTTTCTGTGACTTGTTTTGTCGCAGTTAATAATGACGTGTATAAACCCCCAGATAAACCCCAACCACGAGCTTGACCGTTGTTTATGCTTTAATGTTGTTTATGAATTACCTTTAAAGTGTTTAGGGCCTCTGGGGGGGGGGGGGGGTCTTAATCCGACCCTGCTTATATCCTTACGCGCAGGCGAATTGGTGAAATAAAATTGTACCATATGTTAATCCCGAAATGTCGAGTGGACGTTAAACCCCACTTCTTAAGATATACGAATCTATTGTGTCACGTACTTACCGAATCCATGACAATCCATGTCAAACAATGTAAAATTTATTCTCGAAATACAAAACCGGAAGTAGCATGGCAGGCGTAAAGATTCTGATTAAAAAAAGAACGTCTTGACGTTTCCTTGGCAGACCTGCAATTCTTCCGTCGTTTGTTTATAGCCCCTCGCTCAAAACAACATCATTTCTCTGTAATCACACTTAACACAATTCTTTCTTTAATATAAGTTAAAAATAAATCAGTGAAAGATATCAAGTTGATATGTCTTTAACATCAGAGGGGTGAAACTACTTTAATCTGTCGACGTTTGAAGTTTCTCCAAAAGAAGTTAAAAAAGAAATCTACGTCTGCTTGTGCGTTAACAGACACTGTTTATTATTGTATCTTTTGTTATTTTTAACACCCTCTCAACAATAGAAATTTACAAGTTACCATGGAAACGGGTATTCACCGAAATATTGTTTGTTTCTTTCTTTCTTTCACAAAAACTGTTCAATGGAATGTAAACGGGAACTTTCACTTTTCATGTGGCCATTAATAAGTAACGCGTCTTCTGACTTCCGCGTACTGGTAAAGGTTATATTATTCAATTTAGACATCTTCAGCCCTTTTTATTAACAAAACCATCAACAACTGCTCTGCAGAAGGGCATCGTGGATTTCATTATCTGGAAAACAAAAAAGAAATTCATTATTCAAAGGTTAACCTTCAGCCATTGAAAACACATATCCCTTTTTATTCCAAAACACAAAACCTCTAACAATTTGTTCTGTAGAAGACCATCTTGGTTCTCATTATCAGATAAACAAAAAACGAAATTGATGATTCGTCACTTTTCGAAGTTTAAAGATACATTATGTAAATTTAGGTAAAGAGCTGTCCGTTCTCGCTATAATAGTTTAAAAATAGACAATGCAAAGTAACTATATTGCGACTTGCATTCAAATTACTAAATTCCGAGCCAAGTTTTCACTGTTTGTAGTTTTGACAAGATGTGTGTGCATTGATTGTTTATCATGGTAACCACGGTACCGGTATATTCGCTTCTCCATTTTTAAATTAAATCATTAAATGGAAGAGAGATATAGAGAAATGGATTTTAACGTCCACTCGAAACAAACTAGGTCATTTCGGGATTAGCACATATGGTTCAATTTTATTTCAATAATTCGCTTGCGCGTAGGGGTCTTTAGCAGTGTGGGGAAACCGGAAGCCAGGAGAAAACCCACTATTTAGAGATGATTATCCAGTCCTATCAAGCTCTGCATCGCGGATAACAAAATTAAATGGAATGGGGTTTAACGTTCTATTGTTCTGCCCCGACTGGGCTAATGAAGATGGGCATATGCCATACAGTGTGCTATGAGGAAAATTTTGCCCGGCGGCGCTACAGCCTACTCTTATATCAAATTCCAACTGCCAAGCGATCTTTTACGTCCCCCATGTTATTGTTAGCGAACCAACGTCTTACTCACCGAATCACCTTGAAGATGGGCATACGCTATATGCAGTGTGCTATACTATGAGGAAAATTTTGCCAGGACAGCGGGGCTACAGCCTACTCTTACATCGAATTCCAACTGCAAGTGATTTTTTACGTCCCCCATGTTAGCGAACCAACGTCTTAATCACCGAGGCACCGGTTATTACTGAATTATTATAACTAGTCAATATTTCAAAAATAGACTGATGGCTTTTATGCACCAATTAAGAATTTATTACACATTAGTCGGGAAGCTGTCAATCATTTAACTACGCAGCAAATATTCCACAACTCGCAATATATCAGTTACACTATTCCTGGGTTGTTACGTTCAAAACATGACTGCCAAAATATTTCTCAAGATTAAACAGATAAAAGTAATCATGTTTTGGTCTTATTTTTTTTAATTTTTGAATTCTAAATTCGCTTAAAATGATATTTGCTGCTTACCGTTATTGACGCTGGACAAATAGACAACCAAGGACAACTGCGCTATAAACCACATACCAAACAAATGGTAAAGGAAAACAACAGACAGTGGCGGTACTTCATCTGAAATATAAACATTAGGGATTAGGCCTAGTGAAATGAAATGTGGTTTAACGTCTTACTTTTCTGCACCAACCGGGATTACTCTTCATCGAATTCACACTGCCAAGGGTTCGTGTACGTGCACGCCGATCTGAACACGGAACCTCGGATTTTCGTCAAATTCGAACAACTATAGTATAAAAGACATTGTTTATTGCCATGTCTCTATCAGCAAAGACAAGGGGAAACCACTCTGAAAAGAAACAGAGGAACTTTCTAGGCAAAGACCGTGGGGTTGTTCGATTGTCAGCCCGGAACGTTCCGAATTGACATAATTACAACCGAGTTATGCGGAATTCAGTCATGTCACAGTTCTGTCAGTCTAGGAAACGGTGTTGGTGTGAGTAGAATCGGGACTTAATTAAACACTAGGAATATGTTTCAAATGTAAATGGTTGGTTGAGATATTTTCTTATGCAATCTGCGCATGCGTCGTAGTCCGACACCCCCCCCTTTTCACTCGATTATCAATATTTTTGGGATTGAGAGGATTTAATTCCGGAATGTTCAATCGAGTATCCCCGTAATTTAATCGGGGACACCGTAGCTAGTGAACCAGCGTCATAATCACTAAACTACCTTGGCTCCCTATAAGCTTCAGAAGTTGAAATCAGATCTATTGCTGTCTCCAAAATATATCACTATTAAAATCCATATATACAACGTACAGGAAAAACACCCCACACTGACGGCTGTTCCCAGACTTCACTCACTCAAACCCCATATTGCATTTACTCATCACTATTATAATAGAACCTTAAACAAGTTTCACCGATTCGGTTGGGACTGATCAAAAGTAGCTAGATGTCATGTCGTGGTTATGCTCACGTGTGGCCCTTATGACATCGGCCTACTATCCCAATGTGATAAATACGTAAAATACGAGCCACAAAGTCAACGACCCGAACTTATTTATTTAACATACCGGTACAGTATGGAAGAGCTAAATCTACATATTGCAGGCCTTTTGGCGGCAACTGTTATATAGATTATTTAACATACATTATGCAAGAACTAAATCTGCCTATTGCAGGTCTTTCTTTAGGACTGAAATGTTATCTAAATTATTAATTAGACATTAATTAACGTATCCAGACAATAATCAACTCTCGATGTCAACGCTAGACTGCGACGTTTACTGGATTAGGATATGATTTGCTGCTCTACTTTCATTCTTGATTTAATCATGAAATGGATAATAGAGACTGTTTTTTTTTATCGTACCGGTACCGACTTTAGTAATGATGATCGAGGCTAGGCTGAAAATTCAATCACTAAAATCTCTTTTCAGAGTGGATCAATTTGACTGAAATTTTCAGCAAATCCCCTTTAATACATTATCTAGTTTTTAACTATTATAGTGAGAACTGCTGGCTCTTTCTAATCTCCCATAATGTATCTTTAATTGAGAATTTATACACATGCCGAGCCCATAATCAACACTCTGGGCCATAGGATGGTTGTGATATTGAATGGATTAGAACACACCTTGCTCCGATTAATAATTTTTTTATCGTATAGCAATTGTAGGCTACTTGACAAATCGAGACAATCATGCCAAAACTTCATACAGTTATTGCTTTACTGGGAATAAAATCATTTGACTGAAAATTTCAACACATTCACTTTCCATATTATCTATTTTTGAATCTTTATAGCAAGAACGGCCAGTCATTTATCTAAATCTTACATAATGTATCTTAAACAGTCAGTTGATTTGGTACCGCCTTTGGCGGTCGAGCGTTAGGGAACCAAGGCCCTGTTTCTCGAAATCTCAACTAAAGGTAAAATCAAATTTTTGTAGATACTTCAATTTTGATTGACTAAGCACTAAAATCAATCTATTATTATCCAATCAAATTACTAAAATTTGGATTTTATCTTAGTTAAAATTTCGTGAAACAAGCCCCAGAATGTTCGGAAGATCGAATAACACCATGGATTTTCAAGTCCGTTTCTTACTTGTTAGCAAGTGTACACCCGTGTACACATCGGTGTGCACGTAAAAGAACCCTTGGCAGTGGGTGGTTGGTTGGAGGTGTACAACTGTCCCTGGGCAAAATCCTCCCTCGCATTGCACAAAAAACTACTGAAATGAAAAATACCATGTTAGTCAATATAACCGAGGGTTAGTGAAAATAACCGATGTATTGTATCGACTGTCCACCCCAATAAGCTTCATGAAACGGTCCCTGGAATCTAGCCCGTAGAAGTGTTCGTGTTCATTCTGTTAGAGCATGATATTTCAAGATTTGTTGGGGCGACCATTACGGTTTATGACACCAGTATTCTGATTAGCTAGTGATTGTTATCCATAGAGCTGTGTTTAAATTATTTCTGATTAGCTGTTTTAATTGGATCTGCTTATCTCGACGTCAGTATAGGTAGACTAATACATCCAGTCGTGAAACAGATAACGCGTGTATCTTACCAGCGCTACAAGTGCTGAATTACCTGGGATTGTTATCAGTAATGAATAGTTTTGGTTTGGAATAGATGACTGAAATGGGGTTTACCGTCCTACTGTTCTGCTCCTACTGGGCTAATGAAGACTGGCATACGCCATACTGTGTACTATGAGGGAAATTTTTCACCGGACAGCAATTGAATTCTTACGGTCAAGGGTTCTTTAATGTGCACACCAACGTGAAGATGGGGCCTCGTTTTGCGTCCCATCCGAACGACTAGACAGCTGTCCCTGTCAGAACGTCCGTCCTGTATCACTGACAAGGGGGAAACCACGCCGGAAAATCCCGAGGAACTTTCGCGGCCAACACCTTGAAAGAACCGGAATCTCCAGGATAGCAAGCCAGTGCCATACTCACTGAGCCACAGCGACTCCCTGGATTCGAAGAAGGGTAGACGTAAACACTCTTCCTCGTGTACACATATATCTTGAAAATAAAAAATTACCATAATAAACAGAGTATATATAGTGAGACGTTACTTCCGGATCATTTTCTTTAAAAGACAATTGAAGAGAATCACGTGAAGTGCGAGTTGTCGTTGCTATATATTTCACAATCCCATACATATACATTTCCGTCCCCGACAATTTGACATCCACCATCACCATTACCACTGTCGTCAACATCGAACCCCTTGTCGATTATGGTGATAACGCATATCACGAAAACAGTCTTCTAAAATCGTTGAAGGAACTATATACTCCAAGGGCTAATAATCGTATTCCAATAGTTTGCCCAACTTGACACTTTCCTCAAAGCAATTTTATTTCTAAATTAAACTCCGCCATTGAAAAACACAGAGTAATAACTAACTGAGAAAAAAAAATATATCCATTTTCACATTTCTTAAATGTCAGGGAAATTCAATACTCTAACCAGACTGTATACTACATTCAGTAATTCTCACACACATATCACCAGGTACACTGACGATAAACAGCTCAGTTAAAATACACATAAACGCACGCGTAAACACACATCCATGCTTTCACTCTCTCGATTTCCAAAAAGGTTAGTGAACTTTAGAACCGAAATATTGGTTTCCTGACCCCGAGCTTCCGTTTTATGGCTCATCCAGCGAACAGATGTCAGTCTGATATTTAAAAATATATAACACCTTAACAGATGGTATTGTACCTGTCACGTGATTACAGAAAATGCCATATACAGTATACATGTATATATATACTAGGATATTGATTAAATTTCTTATGTATATTTGTATTATTACGGTAAACAACCGTTATATAGATTTAACGTCGTTATGAGCAGCGGCGGGGGTGGAAGGGTGGGGGTGGAGTGCTGTTTTTAGGACAATTTAGTTTGACGCAAGATGTACGAGATACGATCAAGCACGAAGAGATTTATTTGTTTATTAAAATAAAATTTAGAAATGAAATGGGGTTTAACGTCCTACTGTTCTGGACTGAAGACGGGAATAACGCCAATGGAATTCATACTGTTAAGATGTACTCCAATGTGTACAGCCTGTCCAACCTCGTTGGTTTTCTCCGGGTCCTCCGATTTCCTCCCACTGCTAAAGAATCCTACGCGCAAGCGAATTATTGAAATAATTAAACCATATGTTAGTCCCGAAATGGCCTAGTTTTGTCGAGTGGACGTTAAACCCCATTTTCTCTGTCTCCAATGTGTACATGCGACCTTGGTTTTTTGTACCATCCAAACGACTAGACAATGTTCCTTGTCAGGCCCTCACTGACAGGGGAAACCTCGCCTGAAAATAACGAACAACTTTCTCGACTATAACACCGGGAGCGAAACCGAGACCTCCTGGTTAGCGAGCTGTCATCGTACTCACGAATCCACCGCGACTCCCAGGAAAATTAAAAAGCAATTGATAATATTAGAACTGAAACCCCGAGAAGACCCATGTGACACAAACGTCGACCTAATGTTAGCACGTACGTGTTTAAAGTAATTATCATTATTGATTTTTTACACCCGAATAATCAAGAGTTGAAAAAACTATTGCCCCGTTTGCGAACTAATTTGCTGGGAAAATGAAATGTTCCAGAAATTAATTGTAATGTGTGAAGCACAATAATATTCAATTATAGTTTTTCACCCCACGCTAATCTACACCCTATTAGTCTATGGAAGACCAAACAATTCTTTATTCAGTGGTTCCAACCTCGTGGGTTTTCTCCGGGTCCTCCGGTTTCCTCCCACTGCTAAAGACCCCTATGCGCAAGCGAATTATTGAAATAAAATTAAACCATATGTTAGTCCCGAAATGACCTAGTTTGTGTCGAGTGGACGTTAAACCCCATTTCTCTCTCTCTCTTTATTCAGTGGTCTTAATCCTTAGTTCTTTAAAAATACCTAGTCCTTAATTCACATTTCTTCATTTGTTGTCGTATTCCGACCTCTGTATTCTAAAATTAACATCTGTATCTTAAAATCAATATTTGTTTTATAAATCAGATATTTGTCACATCAGATTTGTAATCTTTAAATCACGAGGAAGAATGTATATCATCAAAGAACCGTATAGTGTAGCCACTGTTCTATCGTTTGGTAGAGACGCTTGACAGCCCATCGCTTGCGTCAGCTGTCGTCATGGTTAGATGAATTTACAGGTCACAATTCCATGGAATACAATTACTGCCTGGTCGAAACGGCGCTCAGTAATAAGCAGTAATTGTGTTCCATAGAATTGTGACCTGTATATTCCAGTTCAGTTACTAAATACCATTGAGAAATGTTTTTTGAAATTGGTTTTACAAAATTGGTATTTGGAGATTTGTATTTGGAAATTTGCTGTTCCAGATTTGTTTTTCGTTGTATGTTTCTAACGAAATGTAAATGTAATTTTTTTGATTTTTGAAAATAAATTTTCATCATTATATTAAAATACTATTAAATTAAACAAAGATGCAATTTATAAATCTGATATGACAAATGTCTCATTTGTAAAGAAATAAGAATTAAGGGATATGAATTAAGGGATATGAATTAAGGGATATGAATTAAGAACTAAGAATTACGAACACTGAATAAAGAGCTGTTTGGTTTTCCATATTAGTTGAGGAGTTATGAGTTATATATGTCTCCGGGTTGCAAAAGAATTAAAATCTGACAGTATATTTATGGGAAATCGTCGAATAAATAGCATTATGTCATCAAAATAGGAATTAATTAATCATTTAGACAGGTAATGGTTATTTTCCCTAATGGATTCACAAATACATTCATGTATAAATATATGCATTATGTAAGAGCTAAATCTGACTATACTATTGCAGGTTGTGTTTTTTGCTTCAGATGTTATATAAATCATTATTTAGACAATTATTCACATACGAGCCTATAATCAACTATCTAAAGTATCGGATGGCGCAGATGTAAACGAGTTAGTGCTAAATGATAAGGCCAGCTCAATTTTTCGTCATAGGTCACGAGATGTAAACAGGGTTAGCGCTAATCCCAACCCTAACCCTAACCCTGAACCCAGCCCCAATGCTTACCCTAATCCTAACATATAATCTCGCCGAGAATCACGTGCCCTCATCTGTTTTACATCTCAGCGACCTTGACAAAAATTGAGCTGGCCTTAACAAATAGATTTGATCGATGCAAACGAGTTGAAATACGATCGCCATTTAATGAGTCTCTATTAACACATACCATTGCTATGAAAGTAAACAATTTTTATGTCAAAACTCATAACGTCGCTCAGAATAAAGTAATTTGAATGGAATGTTCAATGTATTAATTTTGAATTATCTATTATGGAACTATTATACGCTTGGAACTAAACTGATACGTTTCGTTTTACCAGTATAAAAACCCCAGATCGTCTCGGGTTCATAGACCTATCAGACAATGGACTGATACGTTTCGTTTTACTAATATAAAACCATAAAGCTTCCCAGGTTCATAACGATAGCTATCCGGTCATAGACCCATATATGACGTAATTCCCACGCGTTACAAGAAATGAAAGATACTTGATTCCCAGCAGCCCGTGGGAATCGTGTTCAAATAGCATTAATGATCATCAACATGATATTATAATAAGTAATTTATATATTATACAATAAAATAATAGCAATCTCATTCGTGGATGATCTTTCAATTGTACGTGTATGTAGGCTTACCAGATTTTGTTTTAAAAAAGTCCGTATTTTCTAGAAATAGGGTTCAACGTCTACTCGACAATAGCCAAACCGGATATCTGTATTACTATTATTCGCACAGCAAAGGCCTGTGGATTTAACACATGCTATTATGTACCTTATGATGTAAAGTGAACGCGTTCGGCCACCCAGAATTCAGACCACTCCCCACCCAATCTCCCACCTACCAGCACCCAGAAATACCCTGTATTACGAGAGTGATATTTGCCTCTGAATATCTTCGTATGATCTAGTGATGCAGGACGGAGGGCCTGACAAGAACAGCTGTCTAGTCATTCGGATGAGTCGAAAAACCGAGGTCCCGTGTTCACATTGGCGTGCATGTAAAAGTTGGAATTCGATATAAGAGTAGGTCGTAGTGCCGCTGTCCGGGCAAAATTTCCCTCATAGCACACTGTATGGCGCATGCCCGTCTTCATTAGCCCAGTTCGGAGCAAAACAGTAGGACGTTAAACCCCATTTCATTTCATTTCATTTCGTATGATCTGCATGTTCTTTTTACCGGAATCCGCCTTTCACGGCCGCAACATGACCACGAGTCTGTTCCTAGATGTAGCCGAACTTGTAATAACGCGGTTGGGTTGGGGGCTTTGGGGGTTATGGATTGGCATATTATGAACTTTCTTCAGTTTAGAGGGTATTATGTTTATCTAGTGTAGTAATATCGGACTTCTTTGTTGTGTTTCCTTTGTGATCGTAAATATAACTACAGGTAAGGTCGTTTTTACAGCGTTATTATTAAAACCGCTTTGCACCAATGTTCCTCGTTCTCAGTAACTTGTATGTAGCTTTTGATGACTGCTGTGAAAGTCTTGGTGAGCTCTGATGAATTTCGCTCAACACCCTCTTTTGTAATCCCCTAATTTCTTTACGTCATACATGCAGACTGGCCTTGGCGTTAATTTCCTTCCCAAATATGGAATTAACATGCCCATACCGCAAAGACTTTATTCAGTCTACTAAACACGGCATAAACAAGATAGTATTTGATGGATATTTTGAAAATGGTAAGGACATAACCAGTGTTTTTACCAAAATATCACTGGTTTTGTTTTGAGTACGTGAGCTCTGACTCCATAGAAAGTGTGAACCTCATATGGTTGCAAAGACACTAGTTTTGAGGGTATTATGATCTAGTTTAGAGGGTATTATGTTTAACTAGTTTAGAGGGTATTGTGTTTATCTAGTTTGAAGGGTATTATGTTTAAATAGTTTAGAGAGTATTATGTTTAACTAGTTTAGAGGGTATTATGTTTAACTAGTTTAGAGGGTATTATGTTTATCAAGTTTAGAGGGTATTAGGTTTAACTAGTTTAGAGAGTATTATGTTTAACTAGTTTAGAGGGTATTATGTTTAACTAGTTTAGAGGGTATTATGTTTATCAAGTTTAGAGGGTATTATGTTTAACTAGTTTAGAGGGTATTATGTTTAACTAGTTTAGAGGGTATTATGTTTATCAAGTTTAGAGGGTATTAGGTTTAACTAGTTTAGAGAGTATTATGTTAAACTAGTTTAGAGGGTATTATGTTTAACTAGTTTAGAGGGTATTATGTTCATCTAGTTTAGAGGGTATTATGTTTAACTAGTTTAGAGGGTATTATGTTCATCTAGTTTAGAGGGTATTATGAACTTGGTGTTCAGTTAATGAACTGTTACAGTGTTATATAAAGTGTACTCTAGTTAAGAGGGTATTGTGAACTTATGTAGTATGTAGGCGAAGGTGGTGGGGGGGATATGGGGAACAACTCTGGTACGCCTGTCATGTATCATTTATCTAAAATTTTATTTGAAAATGCCTCTACTTCCTCTAAACATGTAC